GTCATCTCATTATCACACTGATCAATTTCATCAAGAATTCATAAAATCATCAAAACAATGATCAGATTGCAACTCTCAATATAAAAACGTTGAACTATCTCAGTGACCTTGCATTCATGAAGGTCTCCTATAGCAAACCAACAATTCAAAATGACTTCAGTCCAGAGACAAGTAAAAACCTGAACCTGCCGTACGTACTAGTCACTTCATATGATCCAACCATTGAATCATCTAATATCTGATAACATTCGTACAATTAAAAATATGATGGCTTCTATAAGGAAAGCAATAATAGGATGATAAAATTAAAGGACACACACGGAAAATGTAGAGAAAGCAACAAAAACAAAAAAAAGAATCATAATAAGTAAAAATAAGTAAACATTGATTGATAAAGTGATTTCAAAAAAGAAGGAAACGAATCACACTGCAAATGAAACGCATAAGTTATATCACGGTTGTGGAGGCGTAAGAGTTTCACCGAGTTGTTCCAAAATCTCTTTACGATATTCATCAAAATCGCCATCGATTTCAGCGACATTCTGAAAAGTTTTCCCAACAATCAATTATTCACAAATTCAAATCATTCACCAAACTAAAATGACCACACATACACTCCATCTTCACTACATTCCCTTTTACAACATACTCGAACAAACTGAACCGAGTAAATTGAATAATGATTTTCGTATATTTCGTTTCAAAACATCAATTCAAACATTTTCATCTCCAAAAAACAATCACTTACATGATCTTCAACAATCCACAGTTGACAGTTCGTCTCACGAATCAAACGCTCGTCGTGAGTCACCATGACGACACCTCCACCAAACGCTTCCACTGCCTCGGCCAGTGCATGAATTGACTCAATATCGAGATTATTCGTCGGTTCGTCCTACAACAATTTCAAATCTCCCCATCTCGTTTTTATTCGCTCAATCACCAACGCTATGTAACAGCTCGATAACAATATCATAATTTTCAACAACACAAAGAAGTGATCAACCCAGCCAACCATTATTAAAATATCCGGTGCGCCTAACGCCAATTCAGCCAACGCAACTCTCGATTTCTGACCACCAGACAAATCCTTAATCTTCACCGTATGCGTATGTCCTGGTAAACCCACTGTACCAAGACGTTTCCTTGCGTCCTAAAACCATCAAAAATGTGACGCTTAGAAATTTCAACACCTCAATCACTCATCAATAAACATGCATATACACTGATCACGGAGTATCAGCAAGATTGATCATACTGAGTGCGGTTCACAGTCATCGTTTANTTGAAACTGTACCTGATATTCGATTTGGAATTTCAAACCCAAATATTCAATCGGCGATTGTTCTTGATTCAGTGCTTCGTTCGCATGCTGATCAAACCATCCGATTCGCAACTGTCGATGCTTCCGCATCTCACCTTCTTGCTGCAAATTCAATCGAGTCATTGCAATAATACCATCACGAAAATAATAATCCAAACGAAATTGCGAGAACAATTAACAGTTCACATAAAACCCCGAAAACAACATCAGCAAAACACACTGTAGCATATAAAAATCTCACAACCCACATTGATACATCGTACTGCGAAATGAAAAATTGGAAGACAACACAAAACACTAACCGGTTCAAGTTTACCACATAAAAGTTTGAGCAGTGTGGATTTGCCAACCCCATTCGGCCCAACGATAGCAATACGTGAGTCCATATCCACACCAAAATCCAGATTTTTGAACAGTTCTTGATCCTTATAGCCGAAGCTGACACCTCAAATTCAAACAATTCCTTTTTACATCAGTGGTTTAACTTTCGATGCAAATGATACAGGCTGGAAAAATCGTTTAAAAGATCATCAAGAAAGAATCTCAGCCGTCCAGTCTCAGTAAAGTCTTACGATTAGCATAACTAAACTACTGTTTTGACCAATCAACTAATGCCGAATATCAAATTCCAATGATAATATCGAATGACAAAAATTCAAAAACGAACTGTGCAATCCAAGAACTGGCGGCGGTAACTTCGGTGGATCTGGGAACGCAAACTTCACATTGTACTCTTTCATCTTTTGCAACAACTCTGCTGGAGGCTCCGCTTCTATAAAAACAAACCAAAAATAAAATCAACACGACAATTCAACATCAACCACCATCCATTCAGCATCCAGAACAAACAAAATTTGAATTCAACGAAATCAAAACCAAAATTAAAATTGCAATCAACATTTATCACTCGAACAACAAACGTTACCTTCATCGCCCATTGCTGCAGAAGTTTTCTTTGATTTCGTCGCTTTATTCTGTTTGTTTTGTAAACGCGACTTTATCTCTTCATTCGCTTGCTTCGAACTTTTACCACTTTTCTTCAGTGATTGCAACTGTTTCTGTTGTGCTTCATAAGCCTTCATGTACTCACGCATCTTCTGATCGCGCATTTTCTTGAACGAAGCTAAAATATTTTCAG